CCCCAAAACCCCAAAACCCCAAAACCCCATCTTTATGAATTAATGAAATTAAGAAGATTAAACTCTCATTTGTATTAAAATAATCAATAAAAAAATCAATAAGCGTATATGATAGCTTAAAATTAATCAAAGTAATTTGTCTCGAACAGTCTTTGGGCCATTATCAACTTATATCGGGTTTAATTGAACAATATTCCGATTCCTGCTTGAAAGATTTATGAGTGTATTTTAATTTGATTAATCTGATGTAATTCTTGCAGATTATGTTAGTTCAATTGAATTCTACTCAACTTGCATAACTGAATCTTATTTGAATGGTTAAATTTCACTTCTATTAACGAAATGATCTCGAGAAGTCTCTATTACAGAATTAATTTCACTGTTTTCTGGATTTTAAAATGTATTTTTCCTACTGACTCTGAAACTTTTTCTGGCTACTATAGTAGATGAATTCATGATGGGACGTATAGAAAATCTTTTTTTCCCTAGATTTCCACTTAATGTAAGCTTTCGTTATTCCTCTAATTTTTACTCTCTCTAATTTTTATCTTCCTCATTTTCCTCTTCATCCTCTTAACTATATAATGAATCTGATAAATCATTCTCATCATTTCTACTCTTAATCTTACTTAAGACCTTTATGCTATCTACATTAGATGATTTTGCAGTTAAAGCATGCTACAAAGATATTCCAAAACTTGAAGCTCCTAGTAAGATAGATAAGTATATAGTACCAGTCTAACTTTTTTCATTAGTGTAAGCTAATAGATATACCACTTAAATTATGAATTGTGGTAAATCTTCTGAAAAACTTTTAAAACTAGACACTATCTTCGGTATGGTCACAGTTTTCTTATTAACGCTTTAGAAGTTACAAAGAGAGAATGAGTCCAAAATAATTGCAAGTGATTAATGTTCACTGATATATGCAAGCTTGCAATTTCTCTCAATATTCTCAAGTAAATTACTATGATCCTTTGACATCAATTTAAAGATCATAAATATAGTGTATCCTTAACTCAAAGCTAAGAATATAATAGAGGTAATCATCATTCCAAAATTTCCACAAACCTTTAATTGAACTATAAATAAAACATCAGTGAAGAAATCAAGCCTAGCTAATTATCCAGTAAATAGCTTTAACAAATGAAATTTGTTTATTCTCAATACTTCATAATCACCTACCTTCTTTTGTAAATGAAGGCAAAGTGAGAACTCTGTTATGAAAGACATTATAATGTAAATTAGATAGATCAGGTATGATATAAATGGATGGCCAGTTTCACATTAGCAATCTTCAGTAGTAGCAATTGTTAATGAAGTTATATAAAAGAAAAAGATGCTCAGATAAATTGCTGCAGTTACATATTTCTATGAAACACTCTCAACTTTTGTCAAAATATTTTCATTACACTTAAATGTAGTAGCATCTTTTTTGTTTGCTCGCATGTCATCTATGAATTATCTAATGAAAAATTTTCCTCTTGAATCTTAAGTTTTTTTGCCAAAGCAAAAGTATCTAACTTTTTGAAATATCGACTTCTTAACGACTTTGGGCTACTCTATATTATTTTCTTCATCACCAATTAACTGGTTATTCTAAAATTCATCTACATTTTTAATTTCCTCATTAAGTCCCATTAATCCTAATTGAACCTAATTGGTGAAATCGCTCCCATTTAAGCCTTATGCTTGAGATTCCCCAAATTAGCTTTGATTTCTGCTACCTTACTTATAACGATGTGGGCTTGAATTAACTGAGTTTATCTTAGATTGAAATTTAGTAAACTCATTCTTCAAAGTGATATCTAAAGAATTCATAAGTCTACCGAGCTAGAGGTTTTCAAACTCTTTCAATGCTACCTCTTTCCTTTATTTTTTATTTTTCAGACCAGAGAATTTTCCCTTTAACTAAGATCCATTTTAAGAGAATAATTTAGTAGGAGATACAGGCTCATTATCATTATTTTTTGTTTTAGTATCTAATAGCTTCTTATTTTCCTGTTCTAATATTTTAGCAGTCTCTCGAGGGTCGTCTATTATAACAACAATTACTCTATTAGCAAAAAGTAATGCGTAGACATGCTTTAATGACTCTGTAGTATGGTTATTGTGCGATATGTCAATTTTCTATAAACCAACCTTATTTTTACTGCTTGTTATCCCAGTAAGTTATTCACTGATTTTTGCCTTTGCGATTGGCAATATTAATGACTATATACCTCTGTCACAGATGTTGTTCTAAGAAATGTCAAAAATTTCAAGACTTTAATTTTTACCAAGACTATTACCCAAGTATTCAGCTCCACTTGCATTAATCAAATTTTTACTCAAATACAATTCTTTAAGAGTTGATTTTTACTCAAGAGATTTAGCAATCATCTTAGCATGTCTGTCATTCAGTAAATTATCTGACAAATCAAGATACAGGATTTTACACATTTCAGTTGATTTAAGAGAGCATCTTAAAAGATCAGGGCCTTTATCATTTATTTTTAATTTCTAGTATAGATTTGGATTGTTTTTATCAAGGCAGTGCTTAACATATTTATTTATATTATTATTTGCTAAGACTTCGTCTTCAATTTTCTTGATGATGTGTGCATTTATTTCATTACCAAATGCAATAAGAAGTGTTTATAATCTTGTATTCTATTTTAGAGCTTGCAATATAGCTTAGCCTCCCTTATCTTAAATCTTATTTCGGCTAAGTTCAATATGTTTAAACTTCATCTTGTTAGTTTTGATGAACACAGCTATTTTTTCAGCACCTATATCTGTGACATTATTTCTTCGAAGTAAAACTTATTTAACAGCTTCTTGGTTTTCCAGATAATAAGTCAACATTATTATTTGTTCATCATCAAGATTTTTATCACAAAGATCAATAAACTATGGTTTCATAAGTCTCCAGCATTTAACAACAGCCTCAAAATGCTCTTTTAAGTTGGCGTTTACTTCGAATCCAACTTCTTTTGAACCATTAATATAAAAGGGCTAGAGATATTTCTTAATAGATTTATTTAATCTAGCTTCATGTGCTATCTTCTGATAAATGTTCTAGTCTAAGTTATGAAAATCTATTGTAATTTTGTATAAAGTTTTGTTTTATCCATATAATACTTTATAGAGATGATTCATTGATTTATTTCCTATGTTTTCGCAACTTAAGAGCTAAAGATGGATCAAATTTTGATTTACTACCAGTGAATCACAAATTTCAATCATACCATCATCATCAAAATGATTTCCTGCTAATCTGAGCGATTACAATGGTGGATTCTCTAGTAAATAATTTGCTATGACTTAGATGTTTGTGTTCTCTATTTGCATTCTTGATAAATCAATATTCTGAAGATTTTATAGCTTGATTAATTTCATAGCTGGTTTGAGTAGATTTATGCTTTTCTCAGCTAAATTTAGCCATAATTACTAAGTTTCTTTGAATAATTCTAGTCTCTGAACTATATCTCTTTCAATAGCTATATTACTTTCAAGTTCACTTTTAAGGTTAGCTTCTAATCTTCCTCCTAAAATTTCTTAGATATTAATATTTTTCTTCAAAGCACCAAGGACAAATTTTTGCTAAAATGGCTTTTCTAGTTTGTTACCTTATAAGTTTATCTTTTTAAGAAATCGATTTGATTCTATGCATTAGAAGAGATCCTTTAGACCCCCTTCCTCAGTAAATGGTCCGTTATATTGCATATATAAGTTCTATAGACAAGTGTTCTTTCCAAGGTAATTGCATAAATCTTTTAAACCAGGATCATTAAATTCATTTCTAGATATGTCAAGAATTTTTAACGTGTCATTTTTTTCAAGGAATCTACTTAACATATAAAGACCATTATCTGATATTTTGCATCTTGATAGCTTAAGTTCAAGTAAAGTCTTATTTACTTTCAAAGCTTCGGTCAATTCAGTGAGCCCAGCTGCATCCTCAAATGTATTATTAGATAAATGTAGTGCTTTAAGTGAGCTATTCATTTTTAATCCTTTACTGATGTGTTTTAATCCCGCGTATGTTAATTAGTTTTTCTGTAAGTTCAGATATTCTAGTCCAATACCTGGGGAGCTTAGATAATTCGATAAGTTAGTTGTACACTTATCAGTCAATTTGCATTTTTCAAAATTTAAAGTTCTGAGTGTTTGATTACCATGAATATGCAGCCAAAAGAGCTCGTGTGATTCAGGAGTAAGCCTGTTGCCTCTTAAACTAAGATTTTGCAACTTTTTGTTGTCCTTTAGAGAATCAGCAAATTCTTTAATCACAGGGTTAATGTCCATAATCAAATCCTCCATCATAAATGTTTCCATCCTATGATTAGACTTGAACTTCGTAAAAAATTCAAGATGATCATTTTGTTAGTCAGACTTATCATTATTTGATCTAACCATATAGTAACCAGATTTGGATATATCAAACAACTTTAAATGTGATTTAGATGTTTCATGAATCAAGTATTTATACAAGACGCATTACAATTTTTCAATAACTAGTTGACGCATTACTAAAACTTTTACTGTTCCTTATGTAGGAATATTCCGCAAAATGGCATCTAGAATTTTTAGGTTTACGAATTTGCAATCTGTGAAATCAACAAACTAAACGATTTTATTTGTAGAAAAGAAATCATCAAAACATCTGGCATCGATTTCCTTAGAAAATATGGTTCTTGAAAAGTCTATCTGCTTCAATTTTTTATTAGTTTCTAAGACTTTCATCAGTTAACTCCAGTCTCCTGGGGTGTCAAAAGATACATCATTAAGTCCAAGAAATTCTATATTATTTTTTTTCGTAAAGAATTTGACAAGACCTGGATAAGCATCAGATTCAAATTAACAACTTTCAAATTTTAAGAGACTTATGTTACTCGATAACTCTATTGCTTATACGAGATTTTCGATGTAATGACTATTGATTTTTTACCCGAGAACTGTTATCCCTCTTTAGTTTATGACTTAACTTTATGAGTGGTGATGTCTTCTTACTCTATCATTTCGAAAAGTGAAAAAATCTTCTGGAACATGTTTTATTTAGCCGTAATCGTAAAATTCAACAACTTCAGATTATGTGGGTATTGTTTTTGATTTTTCCATAAGTTTTAAATTATATATAAATACGTCGAAGGAATATTCAATTCGAAATTCGACTTAATTATAAAATTTAATTCATTTCACTCTAATTCATTAACTATTAGACATAACGGGGTTTTGGGGTTTTGGGGTTTTGGGG